GGGGGGGGGTCTTTACCAAAATCTGGGCTCCGGACATGCAGGAAATCAAGCAAGGCCTCCAGGCAGGCAACACAGGCCTGGGACAGCAGAGGGTCCTTCTGCAAAATAGAAGTTCAGGTCAGGTTTTGCTACCAGTGGGTTTTGGTGTCAACTGAGGAAAAAAAGATGTGGCTGTCAGTGCTGTTTGGATTTCAGAATTGCAGGTTTGGACTTGGGGCTCTGTAGGCGATCACGCATGACTTTCCACTTCATCTCTCACCCCGACACAGCACAGGGCTTCCGCTGGACAGTCCGCCTACATTTGGGTGGCTGCTTTGTTTTTGCAAAGGAGGTGGGTCCTGGGCCCTGTGTGGCCACAGACAGATTCACGACACCCTGAGAGAGCCTGACAGTTATCTAAACCTGGAGTCCAATCTTTTCTGTATTTTTCTTTTTAATGCAGTGGAACTTTTCATCAGACAAAATCCTGTGCTCTAACAAGCATGTGGAAAGATCTCAGTATCATGAGCCGTTAAGCAAATGCAAATTAAAACCACCATGAGATACCACTACACAACCACTTGTGTTGGGTGCTGCTGAGTGGACTTTGACTCATAGTGACATCATGGGCAGAGGAGAACTGCCCCATGTGGTTATTTAGGCTGTAATTTGTACAGGAGCAGATTGCCAGGTCTTCCATGGAGACGCTGCTGGGTTTCAGGCACCAACTTTTCAGTTAACAGTTGGGCAGTTCACTGTTGCACCACCAGGGCTCCTTACACAACTACTAGAAAAGCTAAAATTAGAAAGACTGACAATGCCAAGGGTTGGTGAGGATGTAGAACTGGAACTCACATACTTGGTTGGAGGGAAGGTAAACTGGCACAGTCCCTTTGATAAACAGTTTTGATAGTTTCTTACAGTTGACTCACATCACTGCATGTGGTGGGCTGAACGTGGAGATGGCTCTGTGACCTGTGCCTCCTGGTATTACTCCTGTGATTAGGTTATGGGACTGCAAAAAGGAGGTTGTCTGAGGGGCCTGATCTAATCTCAGGAGCCCTTTCAAAACAAAGATTTCTCCTATCAGTGGCTGAAGAAATCAGACTGGAATGTGACAGGGACTTTATATGCCATTGTTGGTTTGAAGATACTACCACTACTCATTACTCACTGCCGTCCAGTTGGTTCCGACTCACAGTGATGCCTCCTTGGGTTTCCAAGGTGGTGTTCTCTATGGAAGTAGATTGCCCAGTCTTCCTTTGACGATGAAGGGGTCAAATGAGAAGGAATGTGGGTGGGCTGAAAGAACTGAAGGGGGTCTCCAGCTGATGGCCAGCAAGGAAACTGGAACCTCAGTCCTACAGCTGCAAAAACTACATTGTGCCCTACATTCTCCAGAGGAGAGCCCAGGCTGGGTGGCACTTTGGTGTCAGCCTTGTGAGACCCTGAGCAGAGAACCTAGCCAAGCCCACCAGGATTCTGACGCACAGAACTGTGAGCTGATAGTCACTGTAAGCTCTAAGCTCGTGGTACTCTGTTAAACAGCAGCAGAATACTCACACACAGCAGCCCACGATCCCACCCCTAGGCATTTACCCAAGAGAAATGAAACTCCATCTCCACACAAAGACGTGTGCATGGATATCAAGGATAACTTTATTCACAATAGCCCCAAATCTGGAAATCCCAAATATCTATCCACAGGTGAATGGATAAACAAATGTGATATAGTCACACAATGGTATAGTACCCAGCAATAAAAATAAATGAATGATTTTTGCCACAATTAAATGAATTACTGATACAACAGTGTGTAAGTTGAAAAAGGCATTATGCTAAGGGAAAGAAGCTAGATCCACAAGACTAAATACCATATGGACTAAACACTGTATGATTTTGTTGTAAAAAAAACCTCTACAAAAGGCACAACTACAGAGACAGAAAGTAGATCAGGGGCTGCCAAGGGTCAGGGAGGGAGAGGGGCCTGAGGACCAAGGTGCACAGGGAGCTTTGGGGTGATGGAAACGGTCTACACCCTGATCATGTCATGTTTATGCAACTGTATATATTTGTCAAAACTCATCCAATTTTATGCTTAAAATTAGCAAATTTCATTGTATGTAAACTATATCTCAGTAGAACAGATTTTTTTAATGTAAAAACAAACTAACAGAAAATCCTATGTTCTCCCTGTGGTGGTTTTTGGAAGGCAGTGCAGCCTGTGATTAAGAGCCTGGGACAGACTTGGTTGCTTAGCAGCTCCGTGACCCTGGGCAGATACTTAATGCCGCTGAGTCTGCTTTGTCCCCCAGAAGAGGGGCTGGGCTGCTGGGAGGGTTGGAGGGGAAGATGGCTGTTTACCCAGTGCTCGGCACAGAGTAACCCCTGATACATGGCTGTCAGTGAAAGGCCTACCGGGGCAACACCCCCCTCAGCAGCCCTGAGTCGTCTGCACAGCACCCTGAAGCCTCCAAGGAGCACAGCTTGAAATGGCTTATCTGACCCACCCACCTCATTTTACAGATAAATGGAGGCCACTTGATCCGAGGCCACCTGGCAGTCGGTGGCAGGTCTGGAACCAAATCCTGGGTCTCCTTATTCCCAGTGTCACTCTCTGACTTGGTGCCCACATTACCCCACACAAGCAGCAGGGTCCCCTGGGTGATGTCCGAGGAGCCAAAGCCGCACACTAGGACAGCTGGGATTACATTAGTGACAATGGCTCCTGTTCATGAGATGCCCTGCTTCCCTGACTCTTGGGACGCCTGAAAGAACATAGCCTTTGGAGCCAAAATGACTTGGGTTTGAATCCTGGCATAAAACTTGACCATGCGACTTAACACTCTGTTTCTGTTTCCTTGTCTATAAAACTGCAATGGTAATGTCTACTTTAGAGAAGAGAGGAGCCCTGGTGGTGCACTGGGTAAATGCTCAGTAGCTAACCAAAAGATCAGTGGTTTGGACCCACCAGATGCTCTGTGGAAGAAAGATGAGGCAGTCTGCTTCCTTAAAGACTGCAGCCTTGGATACCCTAGAGGGCAGTTCTACTCTGACCTATAGGGTCGCTATGAGTCAGAATTGACTTGATGACAGTGAGTTTGGGTGTTTTTGTTTTTCATGATTTGTTGTTATGTGCTGTTGAGTCGCACCTGACAAATAGCGACCCCTCCTTGGGTTGCCGAGGCAGTATCACTACGGAAGTAGATTGGTCAACCTTCCTTCCGAGGAGTGGCTGGTGGGTTTGAACCGCCAGCCTTCTGGTTAGCAGTCAAGTGCCTGAGGCACTACGCCACCAGCTCTCCTAGAAGAGTGAATACATAATACACCAGCACCAGCATCGCCCCGCCCCCACAGAGTGGCTGCTTGCTTTCCTTTCCGTCTCACCTCCAACCCACAGAACCTCAGCACCCATCCATGTCTCAAAGATCCTTGAGATCAAAGCCAAGGTTTATGAAACTAATTAGCTCTCTAATTTCCAATCTGATCACAGATTCCCCTCGCTGGTAATCAGCAAACTGAGTGTGAGCCCCAGGCTACCTGTCCCTTCCCTGCTCATACCCACCTTTTCTCCCTCCCTGGAGGCTCCCAAGGGGTGTAGCAGCTGGACTTGAATCAGAGAAGCTAGCCTGAGAGAGCACCAAGACCATCTGACCCTGGATGCCAAACCGGGGAAGCCACGCCAGAAAGCCCACAGAACAGCCCCGCAGCCTGGCCTGAAGCTCCAGGTGCAGGGCCGGATGTGGATGGGCTGCCCTGAGTCCCTGTGGATGCACAGAGAGGTGTGTGTGTCGGGGGAGAGGGGGCAGCAAACCCTACACTCGCTCCTCCGATACCACCTGCCACCTGCCATCGCTACGGGGCACCCCCTGGCCTCATCTACAGGAGGGCCCTCTGGGGGAGTAGCACTCACCCTCATTTCCTCCCTGAGGAAGACGAGTGACAGCCTGACTGATGACTTCACACAGAGACACACAGGGGTCAGCCTCTGGAGAAGACTCACCTTTGAACCTATCTATATTCTGGCCTATGCTTGGTCAGGGGGTAGTTAGCAGGGTAGGCCCTGATCATGCTGGGGCAGGAGGGGGTGAGGCGGCATGGGGTTGTTCAGCTCTGCCTGTCACTGGGCTGCAGCAGCTGGAGGCCATGGTGGCCATCTGTAGCAATCACTGTCTCCAACCGGCCTTACCAATAAAATGGAAGCTTTGATCTTGGTTTGCTTTCTGTGTCTACTACCCAAGGAGTTTCAAACTTGGAGGTGATGGGACAGAAGTATTCCTCACTGACCCTTGAATCGCAATCAGGGGCCTCACCTTCTACCCCAAAGAGTCTGTGTTGTGTACCCTTGTAACCACACACAGGCCCTGGAGCTCCAGTCGACCCGATGTCCTCCATGTCAACTATCCGCAGGGCTGTGTCTGTGCTCCAGACAAAATGGACCCCTCCAGCCCCACCAGAAGGGACCTCTGGGAGATGTTTGAGAACTTCATTTGGTCTGCTCTTCCTCCCTCTCCTCAGCAAAGCCTTTGCTTCTAATCTTAATCTATGTGGCCCTGTGGCCGTCATATGACCTCTCTGAGCTGCAGTTTTCTACCCCACAGGGCTGCTTATGTGAAAATCACATGAGCTCACAGATATGAAAGGGCTCGGAAACTGAAAAGGCCAACTGTCTGATGTTGCTACCACTGCTATTTTTAATCCTACTTCCAGTCACCTTTGGCGGTGGGGCCTATGAGTCCCTCCCTGCATGGTCCTCCCAGGCTTCTGTCTCGTGACTACTCCCTTTCCCAAAAGAGAACCCCAGTGTCAGAAGGAACTGTAAAGGTCACCCAAAGCCACACTGCTCTCTAGTAGGACTTCTTGCTGGGGCACCTGGTCTCTGCCTAGAAACCTCCAGTCACATGACACTCCCTTCCCCAAGAGGGCAGTCCTGCTGTGGGAGGTCCCCATCTTCCTGCAGCCCCAGAGAAACCTCCCCAAAGCATGCACAGTGGTGGTCTCGCTGAGGATTCAGTAAAAGGAAGGTCTGCCCCTGGCTCCTCCTACACCCAGGCTGCCTGGATCACTCCAGGGCCCGAAGTCCTTCTTCAGACCCCTCTGCTACCAGTGACCTGCCCAT